AAAAAAAAATATTTGGGAATAACAAACTGGCTCATTTAAACATGGATAAATAATTCTTAATCATTCCCTTATATTTAATGTAAGTCAATTTCTTATTCAAAACCATTTTGAACATAGGGTTAAATTAAGTTCTCCAGCAAAGTTCGTCTCTTTAAAGTAGTGAAGTAGTTAGTTACTAAATTCCAAAGTAGTTTGCAGACACTGCATTTTTAAAAAGTAGTAGTAGTTAACTAAATTTATAACAAAGTAATTACAAAAATAATGTAGTTTTACCGACCACTGTTCTAGAAAAACCTTTTTACGAATATTACTGAATTTTTTTTTCAGAAATATCTATATTTTTGGTAAATTTTTGAATCAAAATAAATCACATCTAAAAAACATCTCAGTAAGTATACCTAAATGCTACATCGGATAAAGTCATATTTACGTTGCCTCATAAATACAGTGATTCGTCTGTTCGAATAATAACTTGTTACTGCTTTTATACTAAAGAGAGATATAAGTAAGTGATGCAATTCTTGATATAATAATTGGCATTTTCTATATTTATAAAACCTCGGCATTACATATTTGTTTTTCGTTAAGTTATCGGCTAGATCTAATTTGACAGTATTGTATATATTTATATAAGAGAGTGTTAACAAGTTTGAGTCATACATTCCGCAAGATGTTTGATAAATTTCTAATGAGGAAACAATTATGCTCTGTTATGTTTTATATATATTTATTTATTCAGTTGATTTATGGAAATAAAAATAGTATTGTCTTTCCTTCTTTTTTTCGGATGTTGAGATCTGGATTTGTTAAAATATTGTGCAATCATCTATAGAAAGGTAAAATGTAGAAATAAATAGATTTTCATAAGATTCGTGGAAATTGAGTTAAATGTAGTGTTTAGTGACAGTAAAACTAGAATTTGGTAAACTCTGGCAAATGTAAGCAGCATTGTAACTATGAATGATTTAAAAAAAAAAAAAAAGATACTGATCCCTTGGACACTTCTGAAAATAAATAACCGACCCAGATATATAAGTATTTTGTACTTATTTTCAAAATACGCCTGGACTCTTAGAAATTATAGTGTCTTTGAATGCAGTTTGGCCTTGAAATTTGAAGTAATTATTTCAACCTTAACAAAATGTTAAAAAGTTGATCTAACGATTTTTTTTGTAACCTAAAAAAAAATTAAATATATATCAAAGAAACGAACACTTTATTGAGATAATAAAAACAACGTAGAACAACCCCTCTTAAAAAAAAAAATCTTGTTCTTAGAATAAGCTTTCTTAAAATCAGCCTCACATTTAAAATGTTTGGCTAGAGTTCTTTTTTTCTTAAATAAAATTGTTAAAAATATTCAACACAACATTTTATTTAGGTACTTTTAATCAAAAATATTTTCTGAAAACATAATGTAAACTTAATGTGCATACTTTCAATTTCTAGAAATAGAAAATTCTTGTATAATGTAGAAATTATAAATTTTCAATAGTAAACTTCATCACTTTGGAATGGTACTTTGCTATCACATGGTATGAAAAAAAATTATGAAACCTGGTATTTATGATTACGAAAAAATGCGTGTTAATATTTTGGCTTTAATGCAAATGAGATAATCATAAAATCGGTTGTTAAGAATCAATTATCGATTAAAGAGTTAAAGTTATTGGTAAGAAAAGTTAAAAATTCATTTCTTTTTTTTTTCTTTTTTTTAATAGAAACTAATGAACTAAAATTTATAAGCAGTTTAAGAAAAATAAATCTACTAAACAATTGCCTTATATTAATATCATATTATCTTTTAAAAAAACATAATAAGACATCAGAATGAAGCTTTCTGTATATCAAAGAAAACAGACGAAAAAATAATATTCTGCTCCAGGGGAGACACGTGCTTCCTAATTTAAGCAGTTTTCGATGTGATTTTGCAGCCTACCGCTAAAAGAGGTCAAGGTTTAGAAGTTAACCTTAATTCTTCTTATTTTTATTTATTATTATTTGTATTATTTATTTATTTTATTTTTTATTTATTATTTTTGTGCAACAATAGTAACTTTCTTTTTTCACATTAGGGAGGATTCAAAGATAGTTTTCACTTCTCCACCTACTTAAACAAAGATTTCTCCCCCACACTTGTAGTCTCGATCCCATACATTTTAAGATTTTTTTATTTCCATATATGTAAGTGATAAAATATGTCATTGTATAATCTTGAAAACATTCGCCTATTACTTGAGCTTTTTTTTTTCCACAAAAAAAAAAATTAGCAGATTTTGTATTCATATTTCTTGGTTTAAAAAGTTGCAATTTTATTAAAAAGCAATTTTTTCTTACTTAAAGTGTTAATATACACAAATGAAAACTGCTTTAGATAATAATGGTTGTAGAAATCTTATATTATTTCCTTAACAATAACATTCATTATCTTAAATAATTGCTAGGGATCTGTTTTGAATTTCGGTTTAGTTTAGTTATTTGAAGATTTTTAACAATGTAACAGCTCAAAAACGGGGAAAAGAAGGGTATTTGTATCGATAATCAATACCTTGTATTTATATCGATAATTAATCCCTTGTATTTGTATCGATAATCTCAAATCGAACAAAATGGGGTACTTATAAAAAAATATTTTTTGGACAAGGAACACTTTACCATTATAAAGTAGGGAATGTACATTTTATAAAGAAGAGAATATGAACATATTTTACAAAAATAAAAAGATAAAACACTCTAGAATATTTTTTGCAGTTTTATATCGACAGGTTGCTTAATTTTAGACATTCAGTTTCAAGGGTTTGAAAATATTATTTCCTGAAATTCACAGAGTTATTTTGGAATAATCTTAAATTATCGATTTTCCTTAATTTATTTATTTTAAAAAACCAACTTAAAACTAAAATATAAATTTTGTGTAACCTTCGCAACCTTGCGTAAGACATAACCTTTGGAATAGCTGTAGTTGATTTGATATGCATTCATCTAAGTTGCGGCTTAAAATACAAATCACCGATGTTATAGTAGTTTTCGCTCTAGAAATGTGGATTTCCCTCAATTTTTTTCCTTGTTTTTTTTCCCTTGCTCGATTTTTTATTTCGCTATTTTTTTTATTTATTCATTATAAATAATTTTAAGTTGTTTCGTGGAAGTTGAATTGAATGTAGTGTTTAATGACAGTAAAGCTGGAATAGGATATATTGCGACAAAGTACAGTGCGCAAAAAAAGGACCACTTTGAATACTTTTGATCTAATGATCGGATCTTCACGTTCTAGGACTCAATCTGAATGGCTCGAAGGGGTGACCTCAAATATGCTAATTAATAAGAGCAGACGATATTTTAAGTTACAAAATTAGACACAAAAACATACTTTTGAATAAGCGTGCCTTTTTTCGATAGATTCAGATTTCTGACCCCCAAAATATAGGGGGTAGTAAGTCGAATAGTTCCTTAGAATTAAATATTAAATATCTGATTTTTTTCAAATTCAATTTCTCAGAAACTATTTGACCGATTTTGCTCAAATTTTATAATTTGCCATGTAAAATTATATTCTTTAAAATGATGCAAAAAATTGTATACTTTAAAATTCGAACTTTTTTTATTCTATTAAAATGTTCTGGATATATAACGAAATACGCAAAAAGTAAAATTAACATTAAAGGGTCCAAACTTTGGAGTGCTCTATTGACAAAACAATTGGGACCATATTTTCCAGATTGCAACTGTAATCCCAGCTTCAGACCTAAAGGAACCAGCTTATCTGAGAAATAAAGACAGACTGTGCGCAATGCTGCCAACATTGCAACAATAATGCCGTTCGTCACAAAATAGTGGAACCGTAACCTCCATAATTTATAGAGGTTAATGAAAATTTAAATGTGAACAGCCATTCGAAGAAAATTCTATTGGAAATATTTAAAAAGTTCAATTCTACTTTTAGATACCCAATAAAACAGTTTTGTAGATACTATTTTCTACATTTATTTTTGATGTACATTGAGTGAACAAATTTATTGCACAGAGTGATGTTGACAGTGCGTGCAGACAGTGACATAATGATTTAAATAATTTTTTTTTTAATTTCAAATTCTTTTAAAAAATAAATAAGAATAGTAACTTTCAAAATTCCTTTTTGCACTAACTGTGATCCCAGCTTCAAATCGATAGATACCAGCTTATCTGAGAATTAAACAGACTGTGTGCAATGCTCACAACATTGCCAACAATAATTCTGTTGGTTACAAAATAATGGAACCGTAACCTCCATAAGTTATAGAAGTTAACGGTATTTTTCGAAGCTCTGTCGCCACAGCCAAGGAAAATAAAAAAGTGACAGTGCCTTACACAGAAAGTAATGCGATGATTTTAAAATATATATATAATCCTGCCGTGACGAATTATCTGGACTTAAGAAAAGACAAATGACTTAAATATTTTAAAAGGTATTAAACTTTTTTAAAAATCGCCAATTTGGCGACATTTTTCAACCTAGATGAAAATTATCAAAATCACTGCCTTATTCTCAGTTTTTGCAATTTTTATGAGCCCAGGTAGTGCAGCATTGGAGTAAGTTTTTAACTATTAAAAAAGTAGACCACAAACGCTTTTCATTTTCACAAATCTGTGTTGTTGTTTTTTTCGATAGTGACATTTTGCGCCATTTTCATAATAGTCGTAGACAGCGCTGGCTTTAGATAGGCCTAACAGTCATGACTAACAGTTGCAAACTCACAGCAGTTATAAAAATAGCATATTATTCACAATAACGCATCATTTCATATGAAGACGGAGCCTTCGAAAAACAGCCCCTGGCCCACAACAAGCTTATGCGGGAATGCAATACTTTACTTTATAACGTGAGTTTTCCACAGGTCTGAAAAATATTATAAGAGAACGAATTGCTATTCGTTAAACAAACATGCATAAATTTAATCTCCAATTAAGAATTATTTGTAATGCATTCCCGCGTTACAAAAGTAATGGATTACAAAACTCACCAGTCTCAAATCCGGAACAGACCGACTTAGAGTCCATTCTTGACTATTTACAAAGGAATCTGGAATAAAAAGTTACAATGAAAATAAGCTTTGAAAGAAACATAAATTAAAATTAATGTTTTTAAGTTAATAAAATAAATTACATCGATTCATTAACAGTATTCTGTGAATAAATGAATGATTTTTTTTTAAAATTACTTTTTCAAAAATAAAAATATACTAATTCAATGCGTAAATTTTCAAAATAAGAAATTCGACTAAAACATAAAACGGAAACATCGCGGTGAATAAACGAATAACACAAAAAATGAATAATGTTTCAAATCATATCACTTATAAGGAAACACCTGTATCACTTATAAGGAAACTGTGTATCTGAGAATTTTGTCAAATAATCCATGGTACAGGGGAAATTTCGTCAAATTATTTTCAGTTATTAGGCAACTGAAAAGAGGGATATATTCTTTGATTTTATTTATAAATTTTCCCCCTATTAGTTGAAATGTAAAAAAACAAATCTCATATGTTTACCTGAAATCTTCATACAGGGTGTTCAGTAATTATAGTACTTAATATATATTTTTTTAATCCATGTCAAATATGAATTAAGAGTTTTTGGAGTTGCTTATCATAAAAAAAAATGAAAAAATTTAAGGTTCTAATATAGTATGATCAAAATTTGAAATGATGTAACAACATGACTTAAAAAAAATATCATTCAGATGTAAAAGTTTACGCCCTAAGTATCGAGTTTTTATTAATAATATTATTCGTATCGAGTTATATAATTCATATTGAGTAATATAATTCATATTGAGTCAACTTTCAAGTGTACATTCTACGATGTTTTTTTTTGTTTTGTCTGTTTGAAAAATGATTTTAAAAAAATTTTGTTTTTCAATAAAAGTATCTGAATTTTGCTTTAAAAAATGTTTATCAATTAGTTACTACTTAAGGAATAAAAACGTCCAACTTTTGTAAGAATTAGTATAGATTTTAATCATGAACATTAGAGATGGGTTTGTATCAATGTATCTGATACTTTGTTCTTAGAACTTAAAAGTATCAAGTATTTTAAATTAATACATTATGAAATTAACAAGTGCATTTAGTATAAACTAAATTTTAAAAGATTAAGTTGGATAAAACTTATAACAAATGAAAGAATGAAAATTATCTTAAAAATTCAACCTCTAGAAAACAGCACTAAAAAGGTTTGTATCATTTATCAATAACGAATGAATCCAGTAGTAAAAAGTTCTATTCGAACTATTACAAATATCAAGTAACAATAGTAATGAAGTTTTAAACCTACTTCAGAGTAACCGGGGTTCGATTCATGAGCACTTTAGATACATTGAGACTTTTTTGAAAACCGACTGAAGGAATCGGTATTGATACAAATAGAACTGATATCTAAAGCAGCTCTTTTTAGGTATATCTACAGCTTCATTCGTAATGAATTCAATACACTTTATGATTAAATTTTGGTGAAATATTATATAGTCCCATTATATTTTAATTTAATTTTTAAACCTGCAAAGTTATAAAAAGAATTCATGCGAATATTTAATATAAATCTAATTACTAATATTTTTTTATTGGTTGTATTCACAATAGTTTATCAATGAATTCTTTTCTAATTATTTTGACAAAAATTAAGAAACATTTGGTAAGTTTCATGTAATGATTTATTTATTTTATTTTAATCACTCACTTAAATCCTCGATAATTATTATAAAAATTTATGATTGTTATATACTTTTTGTTTCCATGGTCTTATTCTATTTTTATAATTTTACTGGAACTAATATTTGTAATTTAGTGTTCGATTTCAATCAACTGAGGAAAAAATCCGCATTTTAAGTGTATAACAATGAAAACTTTGCTTATAATTTTTCACCCCTTCTATTAATATAAACCTAAATTTACGATCAATATTTATCTGATACAGAAAGTAGCAGGTAACTAATAGCCGAGTGTATCGGTATCAGCTTGTAACTAATACCGAAAAAAATTGATACTCAACTATCTCTAATGAGCATGCAGCAATACAGCACACAACAGCGTATATGTGTTGTTACACATACATATTTTTAAGAAACATTACAGAATTGTGCATCACAGTTAGTAACAAAGAAAAAAAACATAAAGATAAATATCCGCTTTACGTTTTTTGAATAAAAAATGCACTGAAAAATACTATAGATTCATACTGCAGTTACACAGAGTATTTCAAAAATTTATAAAATAAGAAAATGGCTTACAAAAAACGAAAATATTGAAAATTTGAATTTCTTACTTTTCCTATTTCCTCACATGACAGACTAATAAGCTTAGTAACGTTAAATAGAAATAATAAATTAGTCATTGAACTCGCTACCACTAAGATTACCCTACCCCGAATCATACGCCCATTAATCTTTTCTTTCATTCTTAACGTTATCAATACATAAGATAAGATGTTCGTTTACAAGATATTGGCTTTGAGGACGTTTTATGAAGTGTATCAACAAATGTAAAAAGGCAGGGTGAAAGAAAAAGTTAAAGAAGGCTTTATTCTGACCTAACAGCAACAAAACTGACGCCACCATAACTCATTTCCTTTTTAAAACATGAATGAATTCAAAGAACAGGAAAGAACGACAAAAATATTGTAAGTTACCAAGAAAAAAAAAGTAAAAATTATTATTACACTTAACAGAAACAAACTAGAAAGAAAATTGAATAAAATATAATTTTATTTAACAAACATTCTGATAGTAAAACGTCTTTTAAAAAGTAAATTAGAAATCCTGAATGGTTCATTTGACTTTGTCATACATTTCATTCATGTCATATTTCATTTATGTCATACAATAACCATATATTTCAAAACAATTCCTCAAAAATGAATCCAATAAAACTACTCCTCATATGTAAAAATTGGAGAAGATTTGAAGAAAAGAAAATTGTAATTATAGGTTTCTAATTTTTTATTTATTTATTTACAATCTGATTCTTCTACTATCTGATACACTTGTTTTTTTATGCTTTTCTTTACCTATTCCTTTGATTCACATGCTAGATCAAGAATCATAATACGATATTATTCAGTCAGCTTAATGAAAAAGGAACGGTCCGCATAGCAACGGAAAAAATCAAATGAGACTCGGATTTTATTCAATAACGATAAAAGAAGCTCATTGTCCCCGCCTTTCAATTTAACACAAGCTCATAAACTTACTAAAAATACATAGAAATAAAAACAATGGCTTAAAAAACATTTGGAGCCCTAATTAAAGCGAAAAATTTCGGAACATCTTTTTTTTTTAATTTGTTTTCAGACGGAAAAAATTGTGAATTAGCAATTTTTATACATGGTGTTCCGTAATTGACCCCCTTAATATACATTTTTAGAGTCCTCGCAAAAAAAATTCTGAAAAATATTGATATTTAAAGTTACAAAGTAATATTTAAATGAGGGAAAAGGAAGACGTATGAAAATATAATAACATATGGATATAGAATTATCAAAGGCGATGGTTTTAGTTGACCATATATAATATTTCATAACAATTATCAATATTATTTATTCTGTACTTCATAATATTGATAATTATGTTTCTTACATTTTTGCGAGCAGAAAATAATTTTATCTTCTTTTTTTTTAAAATTGAAAATATACAATACATAATACAATGAACTCACGTGCTAAATACAACGCACGTGCTTCATCTTAATACTTAGTATCATTTACTACAAAGCGTGGTAAAAGGAAAACTCAAGGAAGACTAGTGAAGTGTGATATTTATTTCAACTATTTATTTATACAAACATAGATTTAGATGTGCTATTTAATTTCATAGAAATTAAAATATTTTTGTTATTACTATAGTTACTATATATACTATAGTTTCTATATATACTATATAGTAATTATATATACTATAGTTTCTTTCGTTTTAAATTAAAAATACACAATATATAAGTCATATAACCCGAAAATGCACGTTTTTCATTTTAATACTTTGTATCATTTACTACAAAGCGTGATAAGAAGAAAGCGTAAAGGCTAGTGAAGTATGATATTTATTTTAATCATTTATTTATAATATATTTCGATGAGCTATTTAATTTAATAGAACTAAAAGTACTTTTGTTAATTAAATATACAGCAAATTTTTGCGAGTATAAAATAATTTTAGCTTTTTCTTAGTAGAAAATACACAATATATAATATAATGAGGTCATATAACCCGAAAGCGCACGTGCTTCAATATTCTGTATCATTTACCACAAAGCGTGGTAAAAAGAAAATTTAAAAACACTAGTGAAGTGTGATGCTTATTTCAACCATTTATTTATAAAAAAGATAGATTTTGATGTGCTATTTAATTTAATGGAACTAAAAATATTTGTACCAATAACTAAAACAATTATATGAATTTTTAGTGAAATTGAAAAGAAGCAATTTTCGAATGGAATATTAATCAGAAAAATCTATTACCAACTAATTTCCTAAAGCAGCGATTTTAAAAATAAAAAATAGTAATCATAAAAGAAAGCATAACTTGGTAAACACCCCCCGATCAAAAAGTCCATTAAAACTTAAAAACAAAAATTACTTTTTAACAACTTACCGCACATTAGGCTTTTTGAAGCAGCAGCTTTAACGACTCAAATCATTACAGTTGCTAAGTATGAAAATAAATAGATATTTTGAGGCTAAAATTGCTACTTTAAGAGTATTCGCATCGCGATAGGGTAAGAAAACCGCGGAAGATGATGGAGTTAAGAATCCAAAGGTATAATTACATTATTGAAACATTTATTTTTAGGGGTATAAAAAAGCATCATTTCTGGGTAAGAGTCCTCATTAAACTGTAGTCGCTGACCCACTGATGTCCAAGCATTGTAATCTAATTTTTTTTTCTCTCCAAAAAATTGCAATCGCTTTAAAGCCTCTAGCGGCTATTTTGTCACGTCTTCCTGTTCTTTAACTCATAATCAACGAAGCCAACATCCTGGCAAATTCAATAAGAGAACTTCCAAAAACAAGCTTTGAAATACAGGTGAT